CGAACTGATTGCTACTTTCACGGAGTGAAGCCGCACAGCCATTGCCGGAGAGCGCTGACTTTTTCCTGTGGACAATTGGATTTAAAACAAGTACCCGTGAGTAGAAACGGAAAATTGGATCAAGAAATATCTTAATTTGGCACCGAAGCGGGAAGGTTCAAAACAGGAAGTCCGCCTTCCGCTTTTTGTATATAGACTGAAGCAAAAACCTTGTAAGCTAAAGCCTGGAAAGTCGTTAAAAAAGTCTAAATTTCCTTCATTTATAACTACTGAAACCCCCTTGGAAGCAGGAGAAAATGGGGGGGGGGGAATTTGTTTAACGCCTGCAGGAGAGGGAGTGAAGAAAGATAAGTTTCCACTGTCTCTAACCTGGGAACGGGTGTCAGAGACAGAAATTGTTGGAGAGGTTCATTGACTGTGAATGGAATACTTTGACAGATAGCTAAAGAAGAGAAATAAACTGATTCCAATGTTGCCTTTTGCATTCTAAAGAAACAAAATATCTGAAAAATGAAAGTAATTTTCCTTTGTTGGACTTGCCTTAAAAAAATCGATACAAATAGAAATTGTCTCCTCTAGAGGGAGTGTGCTGGTCCCGGGGGTAAGGTACCTTGGGTGTAGCAGAGTCCACACGAAGAGGGGCAAGGTCCGAGGCAGAGAGCCGGGCGGGGAACAGGAATGCTGGAACAGGAGGCTGTGCAGGAAACAGGAACACCGGATGGTCGGGAACAGGAGGCCGAGCAGGGAGCAGGAGTACCGGATAGTCAGGAACAGGAAGCCGAGCAGGGAACAGGAGTACCGGATAGTCAGGAACAGGAAGCCGAGCAGGGAACAGGAGCACAGGAAGGTCCGGCCAACAACGACGTTGCTCCCGCAACCTGGGGCCGGGCTGACTGGGCTTTTATCCTTCTAAGGCCAGGGGCGGTCCCGGTCCCCAGGAGCCCCGCCTCCTCTGGCCTTAAGGCGAGCACTCCTCCTGGGGGCAACCAGTTCCCTTCGCCTCTCTGCCCTAAGCCTCTGCAGATCAGGAGAGGCCGAAGGGTTACTGGGCCCTGGAGGAGGCTCACCTGTGGCCACTGAGTCATCAAGCCCCTCTGGGGCCAGAAGGGCTTCACCTGGGGCCAGCTCCTGATGCACTGCCACAGGTGCAGGCTCTTCAGCATCTAGGCCTTGCCCCAGTTCAGCCGGCCCTGGAGGCGGGGACTCCTGTGCAGGCTGGGATTCCTCTGTTTCATCCTCCGAATCGGAATCCCAGGCCATCACAGGGAGCTTGCTAAATTGTTGCTGCAGTCTACTTGAGGACTCTACAGCTGTGAGATTAAGATCGTGGGACCAGTTCTTTTGACCTTGACTAAATATGAGCTGGGAGGAAGTTTTGGTGCTTGCTCTATGCAAGACAAGTGCCTTGTTGGAACAGATGCATGAGAAGATGGATTTGATGAATGAGAAAATGGATTTGATGACTGTTGTGGTCAATAACTGTAGACAAACAGGGAATATTGACACAGAAACCATTCAGGGACCAACTCAGGAACCTGTATTGATTGGGCAAGTGCAGAAGATAATGGAGGAGGTTGCGGTCGCACTTCAAATAATACAAATGGAGAGACCCGAGGCCCTACAGGAGCATAAGCCGCTGTCTTTGAAGATTGAAGTTGGAGTGGGCCAGGGGGAGTCTGGAGCTAAGGAGGTTCTTAACTTTGGAGAGACTTTGAAATATGCTCTTAAATATTTTTGGATTACATTGATGACTGTGGGGAGTGGGACTGTGGGGAATGGGGGGGTTTGAGGAAGGGAGACGGAGATAATTTTGGGTGGGAATCCCCCAGAGACCTACTCCTCAATGAGAAAGGAAAGAAATTAAGAAAGAGACCAACAAAAGACAAGGAAAAGTGCAAGTATAAACAAGAAGAAGAAGATCTGCAGAAGGGACATGGAAGAGACTTAAGGGCCTCGGACATAAGATTACCAGGTTGATGGACTAGATGGAATGGACAGTAAGGATTGACACGACCCGAGACCAGGAAGAAGAGACGTTGGATGAAGATTGGAAGAAAATTTATAAAGAAAATTTTTATTTAGGGAATTAGCCTAAAATTAATGAATATTAGGGAAAATGTTGGAATGAAACTATATGACTCTAGTAGAAATGATATCAGGAGTTATGTATAATCGAGTATTAAGTTTTAAGCTCTAAAGTATTTTACGGTAAGATAAGGTTAAATAAATTAAGGTAATTTGAATAACAGAATATGGGGAAAAGATGGAAAGGATTTGTTGAGTTAATTAATAGGTTAAATTGTCAAGATAAATTATTTAATAAAAATTGAGAAAGATGGAAAGAATTTGCTGAAACAACTAATTAAACTAGAATACAAAAAGGGAGGTGTGAGGAGGTCAATGAAACAAGCAAATGGAAGTTAAAGATATGTAATATGGGATTTGTGTCTTTTTTTTTCTTCCTTTCTTTTTATCTTTTTGCTGTATTGTTGTATTGGTTTTTAAGTTTTGCTTTTTTTCTTCTTTTTATGTACTGTAGTGTTGTTTTTAATTTTTTCTTTTTTTTCTGTAATTCTGAAACTATTAATAAATATTATTTTAGTTTTCATTATCATTCTTGTGCAGATCTAATAGGAAAGTTTCTGCAAGTGTGGAAAATCAAATCAAATAGGGAGATGTCTGCCTTTATATGCAATTTGATCTTCCAAAAGTAATTAACTGATGGAAGAAATTGATATGGTCAAGCCAACACCTATTAAAAGTTTATTATTTTAATGTAAATGGGTAGGGATTAAGATCCATGGCAGAAATCATGGAATCGCATGAAACACTCAAGGTCAAAGTAACTCAGTCAATAGAGCATGAGATGCTAAATCTCAAAGTTGTGTGTTTGAGCCCCATGTTGGGCAGAAAATTCCTGCATTGCGGAGGGTTGGACTAGATGACCCTTGTCATCCCTTCCAACTCTACAATACTGTGATTCTGTCTGCATGCTATATAAAATGAATAGTGTGCGAACATGTTGCCAGAGCTTTAAAATATTGAATGTGAATGTTCCGAGGCAATTTAAATGGAGCCTTCACACTGTTAAAACTTTTATTTTCTGACAATGGAATTACTAGATACAAATGAAGTCTTGTATCCAGTATAGAGGTTTATATGAAAGTGCCATGAACGTAAGAATTTCAGTTTGTGCCACAAAATAATATTCTTCTCTCCTCCCCATGCTCCCTAAATCTATTCTAGGGGTTCCCCTGTCTCTCTGGAGTAGGATTGGAGAGGGCACAGTGACATGTGTGGGGAGGAGAAAAGGGAAAGTCCTGTTGTGTAAGCGTAGATGCTTGTGTTAATGAACACATTGGTTGACTACTGCCCAAACAAATCTAATCTACACTGAAGCAGCAGTTTAACCCTTACTTCCCTAGGCATGATCCAAACTTAAATCTCTCCCCCCCCCCCAGTCTAGTGGCAATTAGCATTAGAGACAAAACTCAAATTAGTTCCAGTGGGAGCTTTTCCTCTAACACTGATTGCCATGTGAAGGGATTTTCATTGGGACTGCAGTTGCGGACAAATGGCTAAACTTCTTTTTCATGTGCACTGCAGTCCTGGTGAAAATAGTGTCTACGCTTCGTATTAATACTAATGAAAGATAATGACAAATACCTATTTTAAACAGCACGTCATTTAACCTTTAATTTGCAGGGCTGCACCAAGACATTTTGCTGTCCAAGGCGCAGGCAGGAGGGTGCCTCCCCAATTCCATGTACAAAAACTGGCCAGACTAGCAGCTTCAAACTAGCATTGGTATCCCCACTGCCCCTGAAAGCAGCATGTTAGCTTGGGGGGGCACAGAGCGTCTTGTCCATTTTGTGCTCCCAGAAATGTCAGCTCAGGCAGTCACCTCACTCTGCCTAATGATAGGGCCAAATGTCTGAGAGTAACGAGCTCTGAGGCGAGAACTGTGTCCTGGTGGACACAGATTGGCCTTGGGGGTCAGCTGACTAGATGGTCTGGCAGGTTGCTACTGCCTAAATATAGATGTTGGAAACATGTTGTATTCAGAGCACTGTCTATAAGGTTCATGGGGAAGCAGTGTGTGAATGGTGGAAGCTACTAGAAACTCCGGTTCAAGATGCACACACCCACCCAGCACCTATTGAAATTCACACAACCTCTTTTTGTCCCAGATTTAAAGCCAGGCCTTCAGCACTGACAATGTGGAACCAAGTCCTAAGCTGACTCCAATTCTATTTCCTAGTCCACAAAGTCAAAACCTACTCGTTGAAAATACACACAGGAAGCATGCCAGGCAGAAAATCCCAAGGACACAATGCACATGAATTATTACACTTTGTAGAGTGTATCAGAGTGCACTTAGTAGTCCTTTCGAGCTGTTCCCTTCCACCCAGTATTGATGACTGTTGGCTGCATAGCCTGTTCTTTAGCTATTTGGTGGGTAATAGGGTTCCCTCTCCATACCACAATTGATCAGTGTTAAAGTCACTTTGAAATCACCACATTTGTTTTCTGGATCCTTGAAAATGGAGAAGGGATGATAGTGCTACCATTCGTGAGATAATTGAACAAGCAGCATGTCTTATGATAAGGGACAACTGTTGGAGGTCAATGGGTCACACAAGAAGCGAGGGAGGTGATCCCAAAACTAGTGACTATATGAATAATATGGATTCCACTGTGTGCCAGTTGATACGAACTTTCTCTCTGTATTGCTCTTTCTGTGATGCCCCATTCACACAGAGAAGCTATCACTTGATCTTGCAATACACAAGTGATGGTTGTGCAGTAATGATAATCGAGTGAGCATGCAAGTGTGAATTAGATTTGAGACTTTGGTGAATGGGTACCATAAGGATCTCAAGCCTTCTCCTGCATCTTTCATTGACTCGCCCTCAGTTGCTGTCAGAAAATGGGTTGTAGAAAAAGTCTTCTTAATACCACTTACCATGGAATTTACCATTTCCATGACTGCCATAAAGTGGCTTGATGCCCAGGACTGCACCTGGGACCTTCTGCATGAAAAGCTGATGTTCTACCACTAAACTATAGCACTTTCCCCAGATATGGAATAGCTCAGTTGGTAGAGCATGAGACTGTTAATCTCAGGGTTGTAGGTTTGAGCCACATGTTGGGCAAAAGATTCCTGCATTGCAGGGAGCTGGACTTGTTGAACCTCAGGGTCTCGTCCAACAATTCTGTGGTTCTATGATATGGAAAGCAACCACTGGATGCTTGGAAGTGAATGTGTCCATCTGCATCTTTTTCAACCAGACTAACAGGAAAAGGCAATATTAATCGAGTTACTTTTCTTTTCTATTCATCTTGCATATTAAGAAGTATTCTCTCTGGCTGAGAACCAGGAACTGCACACTATCTAAGGAGGAGGAGAAGCAACCTTACTTCTCAACACTATTTTTCATCCAAAAAGGAAACACATGTATGCTTCTAGCATCTCTAGGCTGGTGCACTGTTAGATGGCAAATTCATAAAGCAAAACCGAAATCAATTTAGGGTATGGGTAGAATAACCCAAAGCACTTTAGCAGCGCTCTCGGATAATGGGAAATGATGTGGGTGGGGGGTCTAAGTCATATGGCTTCAAAGAAATGTGCCACTAATGGAAAGGAAGATGATTAAAGGCTGCTTATAAAACTTCAGAGTGCTCTTAGTAATCAAGCAAGGTGCTGGCTGGAGAACACTGCTTTCTGGAGCCAAGACTGCTGTGTTCTTATGTTGGGAAATTCTTTCTTTAATCTTATAAAGACATGGGTGATTGAGTTTATAGACTTTTTAATGCATGGGAGAAATGCCTATAGCATCATGGTAAAGCATAGGGATGGGTGAGTCTGTGGATTTTGGTTTATCTCAGTTTTTTGTTCCTCCAATCTTAAGAACGGTTTTCCACATTTCCACATCAGTTTGCAAAAGTTTGTTGTCTTTTTAAAGAGAGCCCTCATGAAAATTCACCATGTGCATATTTTTGTATGCAACTTTGTCCAACGTACACATTTTTGCAAAGTAATTGCTTCCAATATGATGCATTCTGTATATTATATTTGGTGATATATGCACATTATTGCCTATAGCATCATGGTAGAGCACAGTTTTTTTGTACATATTACTTGGCTGGAGAACACCATTGCAAAATTTGGAGAAGTGCCAGTTTGGGCGGACTGCTGTGTTTCAGTTTGTGTATTGTTTTAGAAAGTGCAAATGAGATAGGTTTGCTTTTAAATGCAACCTACAATGAATTTGTGGCCCATCCCTAGCTGCCGGCCTGCTCCCATCCCCTCCTATATCCCCTGCATATATCACAAAAGAAAATGCTCATGTATTTCCTCAACGTCACAGAATCAATATTTCTTTCTGAGCAATGGTTAGATGCCACATTTGGTGGTTCTGTTATATTACGCCTTTATGGGTGGCCGCGCACCAGTAACCTAGAGAATGCTTTACCTTGTCAGAAAGCTCCTATTATGCTCTGGATGACAGCACACAATTGCCTCTTGTTCCTCATTGCAGAACTAATAATACATTTTTATTCCACAGGGCTTCCAAGTACAAAACAGGTGAAGCATAGCTTAATTTTGTCAAAGTGTGATAGGTTCTATTAAGTTTTAAGAGGGCAACATTCCCCTTAACTTACATTTTATACATGAAATGCAGGAGTTGCCTGTTTCTGCAGCAGCAGCATGTAGAGGTCAGGGCTGAAACTACGAGGGAAGAATTAGGGGACCATTACTGAAATCCATTGTCTACCCTTCCTCATTTTTTAGCCAAATAATGGCCCTCTTTAGCCTTCAAAAACTGTAGTTAATGGCCATCACAAAAGTTTGGGGGTGATCCTCCTTTGCCTGTCTCCTGTAATTCAAACACTGGTAGATGATCCTTGGTTCAGTACCTGGAATCTTTAGGTAGGTCTCCTGTCTGAAATCCTGGAGAGCCAATACCCATTGGGCAGACAATATTGAGATAGATGGACCAATTCTCTGATGGGTTTAAGACAGCTTCCTATATTTCTGTGTTCAGTGGGGCTTAAGTCAGTGTTCCCCAGTCTTGTGCCCTCTTGTGGACCACAACTCCCATCTGCCTTAGCCAGCATGGCCAATGGTCAGCGTTGATGAGATTGGCAGTCCTAAAGATCTGGACGGCATGAGGTTTTGAAAAGCTGGTGTGTGGTATTTCAGACATGCTTACCTAGGAGTAAGCCCCATTAAACTCAATAGGACTTACCTCTGAGTAGACATGCCTAGACTAGTGCATATCCCTACACACAATAATGTGTGAATATGTCCTATTATGTTATAGTTGCAGTTAATTATGTGGCATGAATCTGAACTAAGTATATGACAATTCTAGTAGAATTCTACCACCAGTAACCAAGTAAAATGACAGTATTGTAGTGGAGAGCAGGGTGCATTTCATGCCCTCTTTTTAATTTTTTTTTTAAAGAAAACCTTTACAAAACATGGCTTTGGGCTGCTTTTCTTCGCTGTCTCCAGCTGTGTTACAGTGTGACAATTGCTGTGGGAGCACAGTCCTATTATGCTTCCTGCAGAAATAAGCCTGGAGCAATTGAACTACCTATATTCATTGTTGTGTCACATTGTGCCATGCAACACATTGTTAATGATCAATAGACCTAGTGCAGCTAATAGGCTCTTATTCTCTACAGTAGCCATGTCACAGGTAAGATTATGCTTCACATGTCACTTCATTTTACCTCCACACAATGCAGCCAAGCTCCCAAAAATAAATAAATGTGAAGCCTGTCTGCTTTAATTTAACGTGAGATTATTTAAAAAAAAACATGTTTATATGCAGACCTATAAAAAAGGAGCACAAGACATCCCAGGAAAAGTACAGTCCAGAGAAGGAACTCAGGATTAACTCTTGTCTGTACAGTATTGTTCATTTTCAGTTTATTGTGAAAAATCTCACGGCCTTGCATCAAAGAGGAGTTCCATTTGCAGCTGTCTTGCTTCAGAATCTTGTCAGGCTAGAACAGGGATAGGGGGAAAAAGATCAATTCAGGTCATATTTAAAGGTGAATCTACCTAACTCATACTTCTTCAAACAATATAAATTGAAACACAGGCATCTTTTGAAATTCACACTTGTACATATTTTACAGTGCAGTTCCCCCAGCCATGTAATGTGTACAAAATGCATACAATACGTGTGGGTATCATTGCAAGGAAGCATGTGTATATTAGGAGAAATTTTCACAGGAATACTGATGAATTTTCATGAGGACTTTAAAAAATAATTGCAAACTGGTGTGGAACTATGGAGACCTAAAGTTAAGATTTGATTATTATTTTTTAATGAGAAACTCACTTCCTGCCTGCGAGCAAAGAGGATCCTGGGGAAAGCTTCACAAAAGCTAATGCTTGAGCATCAGCAACCACCTCCCTTTAAATATTCTGAGAAGCCCAGAGCCTGAACGTTCACCTGTACTGAAGAGGATGAGGCCCTTCAGGTGCCTCGACCTTCTGAGCATAGAGGCCAGTTTGCATCAGCAAAAACGAGAAGAGAGATTTATATGAAATTTGTGTGTGCTAATATATAGATGCAAATTAAGAAATAACGAGTCTAATTTAACCAGAAATAAAATATGTCTCACCATAGTGGGGAAGACTAGAGTGGCTGGGGAGGCCCAGCCAGATGGGTGGGATATAAGGAATAAATTTATTATTATTATTATTATTATTATTATTATTACCACCAGGTGATCTGTATGCCTGCTCATTCTGTTATTTAGATGTTAGCTGTTGATGGGCAGCTTGAAGACTCCTGGCTCTTATGGTTCTTTACTTTTAAACTGGACATGGTTTCGGCATCCCTTCAACTAGAGGACTGACAGCCTTTCAAACAAAATACAGCCATCTCTCACTGTGCATGACCCATACAGCTCTGTCTTCCAACAGAAGAGAATAGCTGGTAGGGTCAGGAAGAATGGTTAGGGGCAGCTGCTGCTGCTGCACTCATGGTCAACTCATTCTGGCTAATAGCACGTCTGCCCTGAATATATATATATATATATATATATATATATATATATATATATACATTAAAAATATATAATATATATATATATATATAGCTGCTGGATTTTGCCTTAGATGAAATTTGAAATTCAGTGTGAATTTGGAGGTCCTTGCTCATGTGAAAGATAGCTTAGCAAGAGACTCTGGAAGGCTACCAGCATTGCTTAGTAACATTCAACTGCCAGTCCAGTTAGCTGTTGTACATGGACTGGAAGCTGCCATTTTGTCCTTCACCATAGGCCCCTAGGCTCAGTATGGTATTTTCTAAAGATCACCATTGTCAATGGATATATCAGGTCTGATCCAAACATGGCAATTTTTCATGCAAGTTTCATGCTAATTTCTTCATGAATGGAATGCGTTTGGGCTTGTGTGAACCAATCTTTAATTGCATCTGAAATTATTAGCCACTGATATAAAGTGACGCTTATCTGTAAATCTTTTTCTTTTTCTTCTTCAGAAAATGCACAGGGCAGTCTTGCTATTATCCATGAAGAAGATGCAGAGGAATGGGCACTGTATTTAAAAACAATTTTCAAGCATCTCTTATCAGAAGACAGAATCTTGCTTTACAACATGGGATCTCCATCCATTCACCACCTGGGATTTCCATCCCTGGGATCTTACAGATGTAAACTGCTGATACTTTCAAGTGGACTTGTTAACTGTCTGAACAAAAAGAAAAGACGTTTTCTGGACAAGATCCTTCAGCCTCCTGAAAGGGTGGTTGTTTTGCTTTGTGGGATTGAAAGTTCAGACACTATCTATCAAATATTGAATATAGACCCACACAATCTGTTGATTACCACTAATCAGGATCCAGAAGTCTACCTGGCAGTGATTACTGGCATTATTCAACAAGGTAACATCTTCCATCCTTCCTTCCTTCCTTCCTTCTTCCTCGTCCTCCTTCCTCTCTCTTAAAAATCCACTTTATTTTCAGGGACTGGGGCACAGCAGATAGGTGTGCTTCCACATTTTTTGAGACAGTCTTAAAATAT